TTCAACTGATGGAAGATACAACTGATGGAAGATGGACCTGATGGACCTGATGGAAGATGCAACTGATGGAAAATGGAAGACTGAACTGATGGAATACAGAACTAATGGAATATGGAAGATGAAACTGACAGAAGATGCAACTGATGAAAGATGGACTGAGCTTCTTTTCTGCTGCTTCAGAAAGTAGGACAATATGGATTCAAAGGAGAAGAAAAGAGATTCTGGCTGAATATTAGGAAGAGCTTTCTGATGATGGAGCAAGCTTGTTTTCTGCACTTTCAGAGACTAGGACATGAGCAACTGCAAAAAAGAAAAAAGAAGAAGGAGAAGGAGATTCCATCTAAATATTGTGAAGAATTTCCTGATGGCAAAAAATGTTTGAAGGTGGAATGAACTGTCTCAGAGGGTGGTAGAGTCTCCTTCTTTGGAAGCCTTTAAAGAGTGGTTGGAGGGCCCTCTCTTGGGATAGCTTTCATAGTGTATTCCTGCAATGGCGAGGGTTGGACTAGGTAGCCCTTGGGGTCCCTTCAAGCTCTGTGACTACTGACAGAAAGAGATGTTCAAGAGTGGAATGGACTCCCTCAGAATGTGGTGGACTCTCTTTATTTAGAGGTCTTTAGATGGAGACTTGATGGCCATCTCTTAGGAGTGCTTTAGTTGTGCATTCCTGCATGGCAGATTGGGGTTGGGATAGATGGCTCTTGAGTTCCCTTCCAGTGTTATGATTCCTGATGGTAAGAGCTGTTTTTCAGTGGAACAGACTGCCTCAGGGTGCATCTACACTGGCGAAATAATGCAGTCTGACACCACTTTAACTGGCATGTCTCCAGCCAACAAAATCCAGGGATTTGTCATTTTGTGAGGCACCAGCAATCTTTGAGAGGGAAGGTGAAAGACCTTGCAAAACTACAAATCCCAGTATTGCATAGGATGGAACTACAGCACTTCAAGCGGTGCATTATTTCTAGAGTGTAGATGCACCTTCCGATGCTGGCGGACTCTCCTTCACGGGAGGTTTTTCAACAGAGGTTGGATTGCCACCATTCAAGGATGCGCTAGCTCTGGATTCCCACATTTGCAGGGAACTGGACCCTTGAGTTGCCTTCCAAACCCGAAGAACCTATCCATAATTCTTCTCTTGACTCCTTGCAAAGACACAGAAACTCAGCATCCCCACCAAAACAGCAACAATCCCTCCTCTCCAGTGTGCAGAGACCAACAAAACCCTTGCTTCATTGCCATTCACCAACTTGCAGCTCTCGCCTTCCTGCTCACACGCTGAGCAGAAAACAAGCGCTACCGTGATAAGCGAGGAAAGGCGATCAGACTCCATCCGCATTGCCAGCCAGAGATGATTATTAGACGGCAGCTCCGTTCTGCAGAATTTATTTTGGCTCGCTGCCTTTCTTCCCCTTTGCATTTCTTGGGCCTTCCATCCCTTCTTCCCCTGCTGTGGCATTGGTCTACCTGGGCAGATGCTCTTCAATTCTGCAAAGGCTTCTTGGATGAGCTATCTTGGTTGAAGAGGAGAGCCATTTTGCCAGTCTCCAGAATGGGTGCATCTGGCCATTTCTTAATTCTGCAAAAGCCACCTCAAAGGAGGAAAAAGAGGTGCATGTGCTCGGCGTGATGCCAGAATGGACCCATTGAGAAAATGGCAGTCATCTGTTTCCTACATGGAGAATGGAGCTGCTGCTTTCTAAATATTTAAGGTACTACTAAAACAGGAGAGGTAGGTAGGTAGGTAGGAAGGTAGTGTGGGACAGCGTGGCGCCTTGAGTGGTTTGAGCACTGGACTATGACTCTGGAGACCAAGGTTTTGCCCACCTCTGGTATAACAATTTTGCCAAAGGAAAAACAGCCCAGAGTACCAGTACACTTTGGCAAGGAAGGTGAAAAACCTTGTAAACTACAAATCCCAGCATTACATAGGATGGAGCTACAGCACTTCAAGTGGAGTCAAACTGCATTATTTCTACAGTGTAGATGCACCCTGATGGTGCATTAAAAAGGTAAAAATCCCAGTATTGCATAGTAGTATTTGCGCAAGGCCAGGAAAATCTGGTGCAGGAGTGGAGAGGGAGGAGGCCAATTCTCCTGGGTCTGGAAGCCATTCCACCCCATCTGCCTCTTCCACACAATGCAGTAGTTGTATGCTTTGTACTATATGCACACTTTCCTCCCCAAAGCCCAAAGCCTTGCCTTCTCCCATTGAAAAGCCTCCCTTCCATTGTTGCTTGGGAACAGAAGCGTGCAGACAATCCACAGGCGTGCCAACACCTCCGAGGCAATTTGTGCAAGAATGGGAAGGCGGCAGGTGCACCAGAGAAAGCAGAGAGGAACTAAAGGGCTGGAGGAGGCAACACCATCAACAAAGGCGCCAGAGAAGAAGCTTCGGCACAGGCAGCGGAGATAGAGAGCGAACGGCAACCAACCAGCAATTCTGTTGGATTGCCACCTTGACCCAGAGATCTATGCAAAGGAGGAATCTCATCCAATGCAGATGCCTTGCAACATGGGGCCCTTTCACGGACAACCCTAGGATTCCATTTTATCCAGCCAACAGCCCTATGAAATCCATAGCATGGAGCCACAACAATTAAAGTGGTGCCAAATTGCATTAATTCTGCAGTGTAGATGGAGCCATCGTCCATTCTTTGTTGTTGTTGTTGTTGTTGCATGCCTTTACGTTGTTTGTGACTTATGGTGACCTTAAGGTTACCCTATCATGGGGTTTTCTTGGCAAGGTTTTTCAGGGGGGGGGGTTGCCATTGCCATCCTCTGAGGCTAAGAGAATATGACTTGCCCGAGGACACCCAATGGGTTTACATGGCTGAGCTGGGATTCAAACCCTGGTCTCCAGAGTCATAGTACAATGCTCAAACCACTACACCACACAGTTCCTTTTTGTCTATTCTAGCTGTGCCTAAGGATCAGATTTTATAGATCAAAGAATCATAGACTCAAGGAATCTTAGAGTTGGAAGAGACCCCCAAGGGTCATCCAGTCTAGCCCACTTCTGCCATGCAGGAAGACACCATCCAAGCCCTCCTTGCAAGAGATGGCCATCCAGCCTCTGTTTAAAAACCTCCAAAGAAGGAGGCTCCGCCACCCTCCGAGGCCATAAAGCTTCCTGTTTCCATGTCCAGGCCATTTTATTGCTTCTTTTTCTTTTAAAAAGAGGAAAAATCATTGCTGGAGAGTAAGCAGAAAACAGTGTTAATTAACCCACCGAAACATCTCTCTTCATTGCCCTCCTATGTCATTTTCTGTTCCCATAAGCAAGAAGAGGTCAGGTACTAACCTTTGGCTCTCTGGCAGCATTGATTTTCAGCTGCAGCGGCACTCAAAAGTGCTATTTTGCTATAAAAATGTTAAAAAGGAAACCTAATGAGAGATGAGTTTAAAAAAAATCCTGTGATAAAAGCACCTCTGCCTGGTCTCTAGGAAGAGAAACTCACTTTGGGAGCATTCATAAATACTGTTCTCCAGCAACCCTGACCTCCATCTCCATCCGAATTCGTCAGACAGTTGTAAAAAGGCTGACCTTACAAGGAGGAGGCATCCAACTTGCAGACAGCAAAGCTTTGCAAATTCCCAAAAGAGAGGATGGGGCCAAAGTTGCATTTCATTCAGAGGCTTGGAAGGCAGTGGGATTGCCACAAATTAGCTCTGGAAAACTCAGAGATGAAAAGACCCCCCAAAATAGCAATAGTACGGGACCAGAATTTTGTTACCATCGGGGGACTATAACAACCAGAATCCTGCAGCTGGTGGGGGAAATTCCAGACACCCAAAATTAACTTGTATGCAAAGGGATCTGGTAGCACCTTTGAGACCATCCTGAAGATGGAAATTGGTACCATGAACTTTCATAGACTTGAGTCTGCTTCCTCAGATAAATTTGGAAGAAGGCTCAAGTCTTTCTTCAAAAGCTCATGCCACCAGCTTCTTTCTTTCATTTAGTCTCAAAGGTGCTTCAAGAGCCCTCTGCAAACTGATTTTCTGCAGACTGATTTTCTGACTGATTAATAAATGATTGGATTGGACTGATTTTCCAGACCAACACAGCTGTGTCTTTGGATTCTACCATTCCTGAATATTGTTAAAACAGGAATATCAACCCAGAAAGCAAAGTAAATTTGCAAGCTGGGGACTCTGCCAAGGCAGGTGGACAAATGGACAGAGAATCAGAGAGAGGAAAAAGAGGTGAGACGATAGGCAAACAAGCAAGGGCAGAGTCTGTCCCCCATATAAAGCCATCTCATCGGATGCATTATACCTCTCATTGACAAGGCAAAAATAATGAGCAGACAAGATTTACCTAATTTTAGAATGGATTATGAAGACCCTGACATTTTTAACATTCATCCCCCGGGGCAATCCCAACAGGCTTCCATTTTGAGTAAGGACAGCATGGCTGACTGTATCACATCCCCTGGGTTTTAATTGAATTACATCTACCTAGGCAATGCAGACAGCGCCAGGATTTGTGCGTTAACAAGCCTTCCCTGTAAACCTCAGCACTCTCCTAGGCTTTGCAAGCAAATTTCGCCTCCATAGCAATGAAATCCAAGGACGCCGCTGGAGCAATTTAAAAGCCTGCTAGATTGCATTTGCTCCGAAACCTCTTTATAGAGAAACACAAACTTGTGTTGGGGCACCAAGGACCACCGTGACCAGACAAAGAAATGCTAATAGCTAAGAAGCACCACCAGCAAGGATGGGTTTATTAAAGAGAGGATGCTAACTGAGGGCCAGTTTAATACTAAGGCTAATTCCAAATGGCCACATCTCCGGTGCCAAGGGTCAAGGGATGATGCCTTGGCAAGATCAAAAGTGGTCATTGGGGAAAGGAGGACTCCAGATGGGATCCATGTGGCATCAGCAGACAGTTGCAGCTGGGAGGTGATCAAATGCCTGGCAGGAATGTTTATCCCCATAATGATTGCCTATAATCATTATCATTTTCATTTCTGCCCCTTTCTCTCTCTTGGGCACTGAGAGACCCAGCTGACCTTCTGCAACAGATAAGGAAGGCTTGGAAATTTGGAACTGTTTGCTTGGAGTCAAGGCTGCTTTTGCTTTAATGTAAGACAATAATCTATATTGGTTTACGGTCCCATAAGACAGACGTCTTCCAAGGCCATATGATGGTGACACCTTTCATGGCTGAGCGGGGGAATCGAACCCGGGTCTCCAGAGTTGTAGTCCAATACTCAAACCCCTAGGGCTGAGAGAGTGTGACTTGCTCAAGAGCATCCATACTCTTCTCCAGTTGGTTTGGAAATTGGTTTGGAGCAGCTTCCAAGCCACTCTTCTGTGTGTCATTTCCCCAGCGTTTCTTGTTTTGTTTAAATTAAGGTGATGAGAAGCTGCTGCGATGGATGCCCCAGTGGCTGCCCTTTTAAAGTCATTGACTCCTTTTCATGTTGTTGTTTTAAAGCCAATGTGATATAGTGGTTGTGTGTTGGGCTCTGTGATTTGTGTTTTTTTAAAATGCTCAACTGGAGTAACTTGTGAGCTTCCATTTATTTTGGTTTTGTTGCTGGTTAGATTTGTAGCTTCCCTAAATCAACTGCAGAGCTAATTTTTGTCCCTGCATCCCACTGACCTTTTAGTGACCATATATATATAGAATTCCATATATATATATATATATATATATATATATATATATATATATATATATATATATATGTCACTAAAAGGTCAGTGGGATGCAGGGACAAATATATATATCAGATTTTAAATTCTGCTTGCATCCTTTGCTTTTTGCAAACCCAAGACACTGGAAGGAACAGAGTTTTTAGGAAGAATGCAGAATTTATGAAGGTGAGGCAGACTTAATATGGACTGAAGAGAAGCTAATGGTTTTGCAGAGAGGTGAAGTCAGGTTAAGAGAGAAATTGTTATGCATGGTAGATAAACATCCCGGGTCCAATTTTGGCTCTTGCAAAAAGCTTCTGCAGCCCAAACCATCACCTCCGTGTCCACCTTTTGTATGGAGACGGTCATCTTTGTCCGGCCTGGAATGCAAAAAAACATTACTGACAGGTAAGAGCAGGTATGCCACGCTAGCAAAGGAGCAGATGAATGATGGCATTATTAAGCCACGCTTATTAAATTTCCCGGCAGAGCTGGGAAACGGTTTGTTAAAAATTCATTTGTTGCCCTACTTCATTGCATATTTCAGCAGCGATTTAAAAATACGTTATTTTTATCATTAAAAGGCCTGTGGGATGCGGGGACAAAAATTAGCTCCTGCGCCGTCTGCAGTTGCTTTAGAGACACTAAAAATCTGATCAGCAACAAAACCAAAAATAAATGGAAGCACATGAATTACTGCGGTTGGGTTGCATGTTATTGAGGTTTGAACAAAATGTCAAAATTGGCCTTTCCTTGGTACAGAGAGTAGGCAATACACAGTGATGTGATGGGGATCTATCTATCTATCATTAAATAAATATATTTTCCATAGAGAGTAGGCAATACATAGTGATGTGATGGGGATCTATCTATCTATCATTAAATAAATACATTTTCCATATCTGCAATAACCATTTATGGAAAATATATTTATTTAATGATAGATAGATACATATACATGCTGCAGTAAACATTTATGGAAAATGCTAAACCGATGCACCAATTAAAAACAGTGACAAAGTATCTGAACAACAATAAAAGTAACAACTTAGTAGATGGAGAAGTAAAAGTATAGCAAAGAACATCAACTCACAATAGCTAGGACACAAGATTTAGATCCTTGAAAATTAAAACGGTACCAAACTGCATAATTTCTGCAGTGCAAATGCAGTCCAGGTTGCCTCAAAGGTGCCATTTTCTATGTGTCCATGTGTTTTGTTTATTATTTTGAATATCAGTTTTTAAGAGGATGCCACACTGTACATCCATTCATGTCTTGATACTGAAGTCTTTTGGATCTTTGCATCCCTTAGAAAATTAACTTCTTGCAGATGCAGCATTGGGATTAAATATTGGTTCCAATCAGAGAAGTGGGCAGAGCAAATTCCAGGCAGATGTTAAACCCTTTGAGCGTGCAGAAAACTGCAGATCCCTTTGGGAGACAAGCTGCAATGGAGATCTCCTCAATGCACAAATCTTGCCAAGAAAATCCCACGATGGCTTTGCTTTAGGGTCGCCGTAAGTCAGAAATGACTTGGAAAGCGCACAACAACAATGGCAGGGAAGATATACCTGGAAAGTGTGTATGCTGAGCCTAGTCAAAAGTTAGGAAGCCGAATTTTAAAATGATGCCTGTGTTGACCGTGCTTTGAAGTTCCTTCCCAGAGCTAGCGTAAGCAATAAATACACTGAATGAGTAACGTTAATGGAGATGGTCTTAATTTGTAGAGACACATTGCAGATTCAGGCTGTCCTTGGCATCTGGTTGGCAATCCCTCCTTCCCAATTGCATAATAATAATAATAATAATAATAATAATAATAATAATAATGTACTTAAAGAATGCTTCCCCGACTGAAGGTTGGGAAATTTCAGCTTTCTCTCTTCCTTCCCTCTTTGCTATTTAGAGTAAATGGGATTTTAGATAGCATAGACCTCCTGCATGTCAAACCCTGCTATCTTCCCCTATTTAAAACCTTCCATTTGCTGAGTAACAACTAGCATTGAAATTGTTGTTGTGTGCCTTCAGGTTGTTTCCGACTTATGGAGACCCATCCTAGCCTTTTCTTGGCAAGCTTTGTTCAGAGGAGGTTTGCCATTGCCGACCCGAGGCTGAGAGAGTGTGACTTTGCCCAAGGCCACCCAGTGGGTTTCATGGCCGAGCAGGGATTCGAACCCTCATCTCTAGAGTCATAGCCCAACATTCAAACTGCTAGTCCTGACTAAAGGAGACCCAGAGCATCGCTTGTATTTTC